TCTTCTTCTTCTTCTTCTTCTTCTTCTTCTTCTTCTTCTTCTTCTTCCTCTTCTTCCTCTTCTTCTTCCTCCTCCTCCTCCTCCTCCTCCTCTTCTTCTTCTTCTTCTTCTTCTTTTTCTTTTTCTTTCTCTGTGTAGCCCTGGCTGTCCTGGAACGCCACTCTCTAGACTCCCAGAGGTCCTCCTGCCTCTGCCTCCAAAGTGCTGGGATTACAGGCGTGTACCACCACCCAGTGAGACCCTATCTTTAAAAAGAAGTTCAAGATGATCCATTGCTAAATAGTGAATTCAAAGCTAGCTTTGGGCCACTAGAGAACACAGAAAAAAAAGATTCTGTTAAGATTTCTAGACTTCTCAAACTGAGTTAATATAAATTAAAATTCTGAGCAGAGTCTATAGTTCACTAATAGAATGCTCACCCAGCATGTAGAAGACTCTGAGCTTAAGCTTAAGTAATTAGGTGGAATAATTACTTCCGTAAGTAATTAAGTAATTAGGGAATTAAATGCATAAGCAAAAATATCATAAAATCAAAATATAATTATACACTAGAGAAAATAATTCATAATATAAATAATTTCCTAAAAAAAATTTAAAAAGTGATGTTTGGGACAAAGCAATGAATTTGACAACATATGAAAACCTCAATTTGTTCACAAAATTAATATTAAAAACAAAATAAATATATATACATCTTAAAAATTCCAAATCCTTAATAGTAATCAGATGTGCCGTAGGCAAGGGGTGGAAACAGGTGTTCTCGTACGTCAGTGTTGCTGAGGAAATGCGCCTGGCATCTGCAGCAGTCCACACAGAGAGCAGAATGTAAGACCAGTAACTTCCTGACCACAGGAGCACATTTTGATCAGAAAGTACTATACAGTTCCAGAAAGGCAGCAAATGAACAGCAAATCTCCACAGTCATAAACACTAGTAACCCTAATCAACGTTACATGTAAGACACATTACCCTAAAGTCACTGCTTAATGAGAGGAAAGCAGAAAGAGAAAAGGTTTTGTGAAAGTCATTTCGACTGACACACCAGTAAAGACAACTTCAGCAACATTTCCTATTAGGCACAAACTGAAAGTTTTCAGCTGAGTCCAGAAAGGCACTGCCTCAAATGAACTCAAACACGCAGACAAACCAACCAACATAAAGAAACAACTTGCTGCAAAAAAATAAATATGGAAAGAGTTCTAATACTGTGACATTTTCTTCAAAAATTGTATGTCCTCTGGGAAGAAATAACAGGATGAAAACCTCACTAACTGACTTGAGAGCCCTCACCTTCACCTTAACATTACCCACCTCCGTCCTTCATCCCGACCTGTATATCTGACCGTCAGCAACCACCCTTCCAAGAAGCTACAGAATTAATTTGGAAAGTAATTTCCAAAAAGGCCCCAAATATTTTATCAGCTTCTAAACTGAGCTTATAGTGTGAAAGCAATATGCAGACAGGTGTTTTAAATGTTTTCCACCACATTAAGTATTAGAAGATGCGCCTCTCAAGAAGAGGACTGATGACTGAAATTTGTCCACACAAGGGTGTGGCATAGTTTATAGACTGTATGCATGCATATCTGTTATACCCAAAACCAAGCCAGGAGCCTACAGTGTCAGCTTAACCTTTCTAATAGTTATTTGAAGCTGATCAACCTTCAAAACACAAATTTGTCTCCAACGTGGGGCTCACAGCCAGGCCAGGCATCGCGGGTTATTATCTGAGCGGCAGTAATGGCTCTGCACTCCAAAATGTAATCTTCCAAATGTCACAGGGAGTTATGAATATCTGAGCAGCCTAATGCACTTTACCAGCCATGAAATGTGAAAATGTAATCTTATTACCTTTTTATGGTTGTATTTTTTGAATAATGTAGCTTGGAAACTGATGTATAGTCTTTTCCTGCATTTTAGCATGATTTGGTCTCCTCTGCTATATAGAACATTTTTCAAAACTCTCCATTTCAACATATTTTAGTCTTGCATGAACTTCATAAACAATTTTTATAGCAACCTTCAGGGTGGCATAACATGCATTACATAGGTCACAGTTTAATGTATATGATTATAGACTTTTTAAAGGATCTTATTCAAAGATTTCAAGTGAACCTTTACAACTTGTGCCTAGACCTTAATTTGAGCATGACAATTTCCTTCTCAATAGTTTTATTAGTAAAGTGCCTTATCTTAAAATTGGTCACTAAACTGAGTCACTTACATGCTCAAAAAAATAAAAAAAATAAAAATAAAAAAATACAGGAACATGAAAAATAAGTCTCTTCTCTTGGAAAGATTTATAAAGCTGGAAGACCATAAGTCAACACCCTGACCTGACAGGGGGCCGTGCTCACTCCGGACAACTCAATGTGAACTTGCTACGTTTCTCCTCAGACAAGAGCACCGCAGAGCAGGAAGCCTGGCAAAGTGTAAGCTCAGCTTTTACCACTAACCAGGTACTGCTGTTTCTCATGACATGTCCAAAAATGCCCACACCACTTTTATTCTGAGTTTGTTTATATATAAAATGAACGCCCCCAGAAAAGAGAAAATAAACTAATAAAATTTCTTCTCATGTAAAGTTACAGTCACACAGAAATGGGTCCTTGGGTAAAATTGAATACCTTGACATTAGCACTTTAAAAACCTGCCATATTTTTGAAGAGAGCAGGATGCCTAAAAAGACACTAACATGGTATAAACTCACTTATAAGTAGGTATTAGACATATAGGATAAACATACTAAAATCTGTTCACCTAAAGAAGCTAAGCAAGAAGGAAGACCCTGGGTAGGATGCTCAATCTTCATTCAGAAAAGCAAACGAGATGGACATCAGAAGAGGGAGAAAACAGGGAACTGGACAGGAGCCTACCATGGAGGGCCCTTGAAAGACTCTACCCAGCAGTGAGTCAAAGCAGATGCTGAGACTCATAGCCAAACTGTGCACAGAGTGCAGGGAATCTTATGAAAATAGGGGGAGACAGAAAGACCTGGAGGGGACAGAAGCTCCACAAACAGAGAAACAGAACCAAGAAATCTGGGCCCAGGGGTCTTTTCAGAGACTGATACTCCAAACAAGGACCATGTACGGAGATAACCTAGAACCCCTGCTCAGAAGTAGCCCATGGCAGCTCACTGTCCAAGAGGGTTCCCCAATAATAGGAACAGGAACCATCTCTGACATGAACTCAGTGGCTGGCTCTTTGATCACCTCCCCCTGAGGGGAGAGCATCCTTACCAGGCCAGAGGAGGACAATGCAGCCAGTCCTGAAGAGACCTGATAAGCTAGGGTCAGATGGAAGGGGAAGAGGACCTCTCCTATCAGTGGACTTGGAAAGGGGCATGGGAAATGAGGGAGGGAGCGTGGTACTGGGAGAGGATGGGGGAGGGGGCTACAGTTGGGATACACAGTACATAAACTATGATTAATATTAAAAAAATAAAATTTTTTAAAAAATATAACACAAAAAGACACTAACAGAATTAGGGAAAACAGAGTTCTAACGAACACACTACTTTCCTAGGCTGACCTCAAAACCACAACCCTCCCAGCTAGGCACTGGCATTATTCTTAGAAAAGAAAATAAAATAGGAACGCTGGTCTTCCCAAATGTCCTCCTTCATGGTGCATAAGGTGCATAAACAGTGACAATAACTAGGGACCACCTCGGAATAAGCACCAACCCATGGTGAAGATCCCGGCGTGACAACACACATGGACCCTGACGATGGAGTCCCTGCATCCGGCTGCACATCCCCCTCCAGAAGCCGCTGCTACAATGGCCTCTGCATTGTCTTGACTGAACAATGTGGTCCTAGTGAAGAAGGCCTACAGCTGAGACAATAATCCCTGGGACTAGGTTTTATTAGGCTTTTTCACTCGGCGTGTACAGATACATGGGTGCGTGCACCATGGACTCTAGGAAAAGTGACTGTCAGGGGAAATTAAAACACCTGACAATTTTTGCATCTTCCTTATATCAGAAATTCCTTCTAGATTGCTACTTGTTTTCAGCCTTGAGAGGATGTTAGCTTTGGGGGAGGGAATTTTACGCAGTAATAGTTCTACAGAAAAGGTTCCAAGGACTATAAGTGATGGCTATCCTTCCTGACTGATTTGGAAAAAGCTTTCTCTTTCTAAATCATACACTCACTGCACATTTCTAAAGAAAGCAAGTACGTATTTTCTTGGAATCCAGAGGAGAAAAGGAGAGCATTTGATTTAAGAAGCTTTACAAGCTGCTTCGTGGCCAACCCCACAATATTCTTTGACTCATTTGTCAACAGCAAATC